TTATTATAAACTAAAATTCCCTTGGTATGTAAATATAAGTATATCTTAAAAATTGTACCAGCATCAATTAGTTAATACCAATTTTAAGGTGAAAACTTTGACTTGCATCATAAAATCTGACATTAATTCTATTTTATTCCTTAAAATGGTATAAAACTGATCCCTCACTTTTTGTTCAAAAGAAATTTGTATTAATGCTTAATATGAATATCTCTTGAAAATGTTCTCATCTTTGGCTGGTTAATGTCAAAATATTGACTTATATAAGAAATTACTACGTCGGATTGATCAGTTTGTTTTTTTGTTTTTTAATAAAAACCAATCCCTTTATATCTTGGAAATTTTCCCATCATTGGTTAATACAAATATTGTGAAAACGTTTTGCATAATAAAATCTGGTACATTCTGGGGTGGATCAATTTACTAAATAGCAATATAAAACTGATCCCCCCACTTTATTTCCAGTAGAAACTTATATTAATATTTAATATAAATATGTCTTAAATATTCCCATTCTTGGTTGGTTAATACTAATTTTATTGTGAAATTTTGACTTGCATAATAAAATCTTACACAGTGTTGTAATTCAGGGATAAATTAATTTGTTAATTAAAACTGATCCCCATACCAAAATCAAACAAGTACAAATTTTTAAATACCTGGGAATTGTTTTAACAGAGGATGGTAAGTGTGACACTGAAATCCGAAGGTGCATTGGGATAGTCAAAGATACATTCCCAAAGCTAAGCAGAGTATTAAGAAACAGAAAAACTTTGTTAGAAACAAAGAAATGAGTACTAAACTAGTATGTGATATCTGTCATATATGGCAGTGAAAATTCTACAATCACCTCATTGCTGAATAAAACTTGAAGCAACAAAAATATGGTTTTACAGAAGGATGTTTAGGATACCATGGGACCAAATATGTTAGCAACGACAAAATTTTAACGAAAATGGAAGCAAAAAGGAAACTTATAACTAACATCAGGAAAAATAACTGAAATTTCTAGGGTATATGATGAGGAAAGAGGTCTTAGAAAATGATACTCACAGGACAGAATTGATGGCCATAAAGAATAAGGGAAATAAAATGATACTAGCAAAGAAGACCGAAGTCATGAGATAATGAATAATCTTAGTTTTCAAGACACTAGCGATTTTCACTAGTCACCATAATCATTATCATTTGGTTAGATCATTAAAAAAAAAAAAAAATAATACGGAAACTGTCTTAAAAAATAAAATTTAATTATTTTGGGGGCTTTGAAATTCAGAATGACCACCTTATCCAAGGGAGATAACTACGTCTGATTACGATCAAGTAGAATAAGTGTTCAAATAGACTGATTCTTTCTCACTCTGTCGTGTCCCTTCAGGACGTGGACAATGATGGGATCTCCACAGCTTCCTGTCTTGGTACTTTCAGCAATACCTTATCTACTTTATCACCTTTCTCTTTGTGGTACTTTTGTACAAACGTGTCAATTAGGTTATTTGCAGCTTTACTTCTCTCACCTTCAATACGACCTGTGAATATTAAATTCTCCAAGCTTTCTTTCTTCGTTTTGTGTTCCCAAAATTTGTTATTTCTTTCTGACTTATCAACGGTTTCAGTTTAGTTCTACTTCTCCTTTCTCATTTCTTACATTCTCTGTTCATGATAATCTCAGCATTCATCAGTTGAATCACATCTCGGCCGCCTCAACTCTTTTTCATTTGTAACGACATTGTTCCGCTTTCACTGCCATATCGTAAGGTTGACATAACATTCTTTTCTTCGTTTCTAATGTTATTTTTCAACAGCTTAGTAACTTACTCAGTCTTTGAATAGTAGCTGTCTCTATTATGAGTATAGGGATTTTTTATGTCAAGCTTTTACTGGATGAAATTAAGGGAAGGTTTTGAAAGAATAGGAAAATGTTGACATTTGGCCGGAGTTTTGGGATATTAGAATTTAAGTTTTTGCATGTAGTAATTCACGTTCTCAGAGATTTCTGAAAGTTCATAAAAACAAGATTAGCAAAATTAATGATCAGATTATTAATCGAGATCATTAAGACAACGGCAATATTGAGAACCGCAAGAGGAGGATTCTCGAGAGGTTGAGAAACTTGCTGTCACTTGATTCTCGTTGGCAATTACCAGACAATTTTCATGCAAAAAAAGTTTCAGTAATATTGACAACATTCAATAAGAAATAAAATAAATGAAAGCAGATAAACCATTCTTAGCTTGTAGATTGGCGCAACACAGTCTTCCCGCTTTTTCTCATATTTGGGCCTGTGATATACTAAACTAAGCTTAGAAAATCGCAGTGAACAAAACTGAATACTGTCTTGTGGTTGAGTCTTGCAAATTCCCCATCAGGAGAGATAAGCATTCAAGCCCAGATAAAAGCTAGAATTCCAAAGTTAGCGGGTTTTCTCTACTTGGAATACAAGAGTTAACGCAATACAACTATGTACCAGAATTGTAATATTAAATGTGTGCAAAAGGTTCCAGGAGAAAAAAAGGTTTTTAACTATGTTTTAAATCTCTAGCTTTCAAAACTGTCATTGGGAATATTTTTTTCGCGCGCTTATACTCTTTGAGTATGCAAAAAATAATAAAATATCCCCGAATTAAAATCCTACAATACCAAACGGCTCTAATACAGAGATAGATAAAACAAAGAAGCACAAAGACATACAAACTCTCTTCAAGCCTCAAACCAGGAAGTGATAAGCTAGAGTAATTAATGTGGTTTACGACACCACCTTCTTCTCAGAGATCCAAAGACACTTGTAGAGGCCCGTTATTTAATATGACTTCTCAGTTTATATTTGACGCAAAATACCACAAAATATGAAACAATAAGAATAAACACAAAACTGTTTTATAACAAGATTAATATTTATATTTGTATAATGATGTACAAGCACAGGGGGTTACTATTTTTGTTGGTGTTATCTCCCTTTGACTGGATTAAAGTTTTTACTAATGAAAGATTATTTTATCTGCGCGCATAAAAGTTGATTGAACTTATCGCTCAAAATGTTCACTGTGAGAGTTGAAAGAATTCTGTAAAGCTGAAAATATGTTGATAAACTTTTAGCTTTAGAAGAGTTGAAGGAGTGAATGTTCCGTAATGTTTGTAATTAAGTTTTCATTGCTTGTAGTTGAATATTCGTAATGTTCATAATGAAGTTTGAAAAGTTTCGTACTTAGGTGTATGTGTGCGTGTGTAAATGTTTTCATAGCGTCCGTCAGCAAGGGGTCGAGACGCGATCTCTTTTTTGCAACTACATTTTAGTAGCGAGAGAAATCAAGGAAGAGGAAGAACGAATTCGTGTCTGGTATTTAAAATCAACTTGATCACGTGACAAGCTCGAAAGGCATTGACAGATTTGGGGCGTAATTATTTTTTAGTCAGGTCAAGAACTAGGTCGATGTTATTCGGACGTAGTTGAGAACATGATTTAAGTATTAAGTGACCAATCAGAAGTTGAGATTTTCTGAAAATATGTATGAAGCTGACTAAGTTCTGTGATCCGCTTTTTGCACAGATATGCACAAAAATTGAGAATGATAAAAAAAAAAAGTGGTAACGGGATGCTAAACACTCTTCTAACACAGTGTGGTCGTTCTTTTATTCAAGCTGACGATGCCAAAAAGAGCATATGCTTTCTCTGGTGAAACACGTCTTTGATAAAAAAAAAATTGTCTTATCAACTTCACTTATATTCTAACAAATACCATTACACTTCGCCTTGGAGCAAGGGTTAGGACCATTATTAACGTAGTGTGCTTGATTCTCAGTTTAATTAAGCAAAATTGAACAAATAAATGAATATATCCATATATAACGTCATTGGTTGGTAAGATAGTCGCGATCTTCTCTCCAATGACAGGGAAAATTGTGTAACACTATCTTTCTAGTGCTATTTAACATTTTGCTGCACAAATCTTAGGAAATATAAAATAAAATAAAAACGGTATTTTTTCAGGAGAAAGAATTGCCTCCCTTAGTTGATGTATATGAAGTTACTTCCCTTGAATACATTGAAAAACCACACGATAACCGAACTGGATCGAGAATTCCATGGTTAAAGTTATATATATATATATATATATATATATATATATGAAATCAAAATTTGTATTAAAATATAAAACTATAAAAGCTCTCAACAAAACTACATAAAACATATTTTGAAAACATAAAAAGGGAAAAGACCTCTTCAGACTTCATAAATATCCTTACTAAAAAAGTAACAATGCAAATTCTAATATCCAACTTATATCAGAAACTGAATCCAAAATGACTTGTGTTAGAAATCAGCATCTATAATGACTGATTAACAAAAATCTACAACTACCTTGCACCCAAAACTATCACTGATCCACATATAACATCAAACGATGTCCCAAAACATCCACGATTCAAAACCTTTATCTGGCCTTAATTAACCCTATAGTGGTTAATGGGCCGTTTAGCCGAAACGAAACCAAACTATGTCAATCTCCACGAGTTAAATAAATAGCAGGACAGACTGAGATCTCTAGTTTTTCTTGGCAATCGATCTAGGAAGATTATTCTGAATTCAAAACTGGTTAGCAAATCCCCAGATTGAGAGAGATGGGGAGGGGGAGACAGAGAGAGAGAGAGCGAGAGAGAGAGAGAGTGGGGAGTTGAATTAATTGAAATATAATACACTACTGTGGGTATCCGGAGAGTGCAACAGTTAACATTCCTGAACGCGAAATCGGCGAACCAAGTTCGAATTCTGGCCTTGGGGAAGGCATGAATCCAAACCTAATCCCCAGCAACCCGAGTTAAACGTTCTGGTGTGTCGACCAGTAAAAATGCACAAGGATTGAAATCCTTAAGACACGTGACTTATGTAATATGCCGAAAGCGAAGAGAAGCGCGTCTCTCTCCGCCTTTTTCTGGTGAGAAAGGAAGAAAGAAAATGTCTGAACAACATAATGTTTGTTATTGATTTAATGTTTCGCAAGTTATCTTGTTTTCGGTCGCTCATAATGAAACTTTGTTGTCTTTTGATCTCGTCCGTCGGGAATTTTTTTCCTGGTCGAGGATTCAGCAGAAGATTTCAGTTTTTCCTGATTATTGCTTTCCGTCACCTGATGATCCTCTTCACTGTTCGGCATTTCACACTCATTCCAATATCCACAATAAGGAATTTTAAAATGAATCACTGGAAGGTTCTTCACTGATGTCGCTTTTCTTTGAACCTCTCGCGTCGTTACTTTAACCTCCGAGCCCTTGAAATTCGGTGGCTTGGCAAGCGTTATAGCATGGATCTCTAAGTTATCGGTGTGCATAGCATTATTCACCGTGTTATTTTCTTTCTCTGACGTGGAGTAATTTTTATATTCAGCGCTGTTGTTCCTATCATGATTGTTTACGTGAACCGCGAGATTTTCAAAAATCTCATGAGATTTCCGTGTTCTATTCTCGTCAGACGAATATGGTAGCCAAGTATCCATCTTTGTAATGTGAAAATATTCTTCCATGATTTTAGGATCTCTCGGGAAAGGCTTGGGATGTGCGAGTGGTAGGATAGGGATTTTGTCTTTCTTTTTTGGCCGTGTCTTTTTTGAAAGCATCTGGTCTTGGACATCATGTTCCACGGCTTTAGTTTCATAAGTCTTCAGTTGTTCAGTCGATAAAGTGAAAATAGAAGGGGCTTTTAATTTGCATATTTGCAAAGATACTACTTCATTCTTTGTCGCTTTCGGCCGTTCTCCTCGGGTCCTACTCATTTCTTGTTGCATTTTCGGTTTTTTGGTGCCGGTCAGTGTTCGCTGTGATTTTTCTCCATGCAAGACATACCGATTCATGAGATCATTTTTTAGCTTGGTGCCTTTGATGAAGGATGCCGATGTAGGCAGCGGCTGCTCTAGAGAAGAGTTAATATATTCCGTGGTGGTCAACCCACTTAAAGAATCAGAATATGGCCTGGTCATTTGGCGCCATATAAGTTTACTTGTCGGTGTCCGCGAAAGAATTCGGTAATTTTCGCAGCAATTCTGGGAAGCGCCAAAAAAAAAAGAAAAAAAGAAAACAAAAAGAAACAGGTTAATATATTAAAAATCATCGTACATGATAATGGTACAATTTCGTGAGAATGTATCAATGGCGTGTCTTGATAAATATGGTAGTTGTCGTGGGTATAAGCAAATATCACAGTATAAATCTCAGACGAAAATGAATATCCTATGATAATTGTGCATGTCCTACCCTTCATTAGTTCTCACGACTGTTACACTTTGCCAATACCTCATTCCGTTTTGATCGCGGGGAAAGAGAGGGAAAGACACTACTTGGTTTCAGTGATAAAATTAAAGAAAGAAAAAAAGAAGAAGGGAAGATAGAAGTGGAGAGAGGAAATCAGATTAAGCTGATAATAACAGATACTACACTTTGATCGTAACCAAAAGGTCGTGAATCAATGGCGACCGCGATAAAAACGATGGAAGTAAGGTAATGACCAAAAATCCAATTACCATAAATAAAATATCATCTGCTGAATTATTTTAAAATTATTATTAGGAAAAATGTTCGTAAGACGGGGATTTGGATAGTTCTTTTTTGTATTAATTAAACGTACAAATAAGAAGTAATAACAAAAATTATTATCTTAATTTGCTACTCTGGACACATTTCAATTGACTTCTTCTGCAGTTGTTGTTGATTCGATAAATACCAGTTTTTTTTTGGTTTTTTTTTACAGCAAAGTTACAGATCATTTTACTCGTAAGCCAAGAAGAAATGTAATTTTGAGTTTATAATAGGGCTGTAATTATAAAGTACGGAAGACCAACAAGAATACAATTAAGTTGCGTTATTTGAGTTAAGCATTGTTCCCCGCTGTTAAGGCCTTTACTTTTGTGAAACACGCGTGGAGAAGTTAATTTGATTTTCAATTTCAACTGAGAAGGGTACCTACAAGTATCAGTATCAACTTATGAAATTTATATGATCTTATTTTTATATTAATCTCAGTTATGACATTTTTCCATAAATGAAATATCAAAATTAATAATAAAATGAATGGAAATACAAATAACACAGTAAAATGTAATAAATGTACATAAAATTACAGTATTTTATGTACACTTCTCATAAAATTTAATAAGAAAGGTAACTATGAATTAATTAGATACCTTTCTTATGAAATTTAATCTCACTCTCAACAGTCTTATTTTAATTTCTTTATAATATATTTTCCATAAAGCATCGTAAACGTAAAAGTGAAAGCTAAGTACAAAAAAAAAATTAGAGCGCTGAAAGTTTTCCTTAAAAATAACGAGGTAAATAATTTGTTCCTTAAATCTAAATAATTTCACTTCTCCCCTTCCGTAGAATAACTTATCCTTACGTAAACTGTCAATACGTCTTAAATTGTCATTCATCACCTGTCAAGTGACGCGAAATGTTATGACCCGCTTTGTTTTATTTTCAAACTACATCTTCTCGGCGCAGAAACTAAGTAATGCTTGTTTCAAAATATTTTAAATAAGCATTATAATTTCTGATTTTCTTAAAATAAGTTTTGAAAAAATTATAATTGATTTTTAAAAGAATTTCAAACTGAAATTTTCATTTTTTTTTTAAATAGAAAAAAAAATGGTTGACGTGCTAGGAACGATTAAAAAATGTAAAAAATATTTGGATCTTTCCTCTTAATAATAAAATAAAAAATTTAGACGATAAAGTTTTGTTTTCGTCTTGGCATCTTTTTCGTCATGCTATGCTCTTTTTTTTAACGATCTCATGGAGGTACCTACCTAAAGTGATGTATGCTATAACTGAAATAAACAATACGCTAGACTAAATAAAGATAGTTTTAATTTTGCATGGAATAATGCTTACAGTGTTTTCCTCGCTTCTTAGGAATACACTACTCTCATATACATATTTCAAACAGCTTTTGTCAGAAAAATAAAAAGGAAGGCGACTGAGGTCTGTAATTTGATTAACATGTGATATATAGATCTGTCTATTTTTATTACTTCAAACGTTATTTTAGTGGGTACCTATATTTGAAATAGACGCCCTGTTTTTGTTTATTTTACACAATATGTATTACGTCTATCGGCCTACGCATTTGAAAACTTAAGGAAATGGTATCGGAGAGCACATTTTTTGATTAAGTTTTCTCGAAAACACAGGTCTATAGACGTAAAATACACCGTTTAAAATAAAAACAAAAAGAAGACGTCTATTTCAGACAGGGATATCAGCTAAAACAACGTTTGAAGTAATGTAAATGTCGGATTAAAATAAATCCATTAATTCGTTAGAAATGACATCTATGTAACTCAGTCTTTTCATATCTATCTCTCTTTCTCTCTCTCTCTCTCTCTCTATATATATATATATATATATATATATATATATATATATATTATTTGTATCACCTTTATTATAATTGTAATCCAAATTATGTATAATTGATTACATATATCTGCCACGTAGAACGTATTAAAACACCATAGACTGTTTATTTTTACTTTAAACCAGGCTCAAACCAAGGGAGAGCAGCCATTGTATTCGCAAGGGATTTAGCTTTGTCAGACAAATATTCAGTTGCAGTATCTTAAGCCGAGCAAAGCCCAGCAAAACAAACCGACGCTTTGTCGAAAAGTCACTGACTATTCTGATTATAGTATCTTTCAGAATTTTAAATTCGAAGAATTACTCGTCAAAAATTAATCTATATCATTTTACCTGAATCTATAAATTCAAAAGCTGTGTGTGAGAATTTTTCAACTAATTCTAACAGAAAATTGAGCTCAATTACGAATGCAAACTGCCTTTTATTTTTAATTTCCTTAAAATTATATTAAATTGATCAGTTAAAATCCTTACAATTAAAGTAAAACGGTCAATAAAAATCTTTACAATTACAGCAAAATTGTAAATTAAAATCCTTACAATTAATAAATAAGAAATACACCACTATCAAACTAATGATTAGAAAAGCTTGTCTTTTACAGACTAGTCAGCCTTAATGTACATTGTGGGTTGCCTGCATTTGGCGAAACCTAACAGTATTGACAATCGTACACTTGACCTCCTAGGACCTTTCTGACGTGTTTTCGAAACGAATTGCACACACCAAGCGTGTTGCGCAGTATTTGCATAATTCAATGAATGACTCATTGGTGACGATATGACTCGCGTATGCCGTGTTCGGAGCTGCGAATAGGTTGTTGGAAAGGTTTGATTTTTGTTTTCTTTAGAAAATGCATTTGATAGGTGGTTTGAGAATTCACCTGATCGCAAACTCGTCGATAGTCTTGAAACCATCAAGAAGGAAACCATTGAAAATGTCATCTTGAACTTACTCAAAGAACATCGACATTTTAGACAGCGACAGACGCGCGTAATCGGTGAAGTTTGGAAGTAATTCAAAGCGAACAAATGTGTCCAGAAACGTCTTCCCATCGTTTCAATAGGGTGGATTTCGTGAGGGTTGCTGGTAGGGAAATCAGTTAAAAATATTGACAGTACATTAAATTGGCGTTGCTTAGCAAAAAAAAAAAAAAAAAAAAAAACGACTTTAATTTAAGACAACACTTTTAATTATTCGTTAAATTGGCCGATCATTTCTTCGAAAAGCCACATTTTAGTGCTAGACTATCAACATATCAGCATTGTTTCTCCGCGTCTCTTGGAGGACATATTTATACCTAACACTTTCGGAACAATTACAGTCTTTCGGTTAGATAGAGCTCATCATCTGGGGAAGGCAGTCCAGTCTAGGGGAAGAAAAAAATTGATTTAAACCTTCGCTGGCTTGCGACCATATCAAAACACAGAAAAAGGCTATGGAAGTAAATCCAGACAGAAAATCCAGAGCGGATCCCCGAAGACTGTCAACACTTACAAATTTCCGATAACTCCTGCAGCCAAGCCGGCCCCAAATATAATGTCCTGTATTCGTTTGTATCTTGTCGGTAAGGGTGAGAGTTAAGCCGTATGGCCTGAATATCACACGGCTTCCATATACCACAGCTCTGACCTGTGCCCCGTAGAGGTCACTCCAATCTCACTACTAAAGGACTGGATTTTGACCAAACAGTGCACTACCATTATCTTGCGAGATAAACGTTTGCCTACTACAGTCTTTCCCACCAGATACAAGTTACCTTAACAGCCGCAGATCTATAAAAATGATCTTCGCCAGTTGGTGACAATGTATAACGCCCAACCTAAAATGTTTAATGTTTTATTTAACACAGCTCTAGTATTAACCATGGACAATTTTAAATAACTTTGCCTGCAGACAACAGAAAACAAAATGTAAACATTTATGTTGAAGTGCTGACCAAAAAAAAAAAAATGCATCACATTTCCGTTACAGCCTCCCCTTGGGTCCAGTAAATATGCACACCAAATTTGCGGGCTTTCTACGAAACCGGTTGGTCGTATATTGGGAACAAATAAACCATTCCATATTATGCATATCTAGAGATTTTCAGTGTACGAAATTTAATTAAAGCTATGTAAATATATGACGCGACCTTCACCCACCGTCCGTCCAATGATTACTCCACGTTGCATTTCGATTCTTGATCACGCCGGTATGCGCTGAAAGCTGGGAAAGGGACTGCTGCGTGCTCACAAGTGTGAAAGACAACACCACGTCCCATATTTTATGTTTTATTAAGGGATTTGCCTGCTCACCTCGGTGGATAGGTTGTTAACACTTATGACAACTTCTACTATATGGATCTCATGGATCAGTTCTTCCTCCCTACCAACTCATAGCCCATCTAGGCATCACGATGTGTGGCAGGCAATACGAATAGGTAGCATCGAAACAACACGATGGACAAGTCCGTCTTTCGTAAAGGGCGAATCAAAACTGACTTCGATTCTACGCATGACTGTTAACATAAACCGACACCCGGATTCACTCTGTTTTTGGTTTTGGTGTCACTTGATTTAAAAAACAAAACAAAAAAAAAAAAAAAGAAAACCCTCATCCATTCCTTTACTTCTCCGTTTTCCTCCGGTTAAGTGTCACTGTGAAAACTAGACTAAAAAAATCTGCTGGCGATAAAGATCAAGATAAAACTACATCTTCCCTTTCTACGTGAGTGGCCGTAGTATCACAGTTATAAAACAGACATATTTATTAAGATGGGAAGAAAATGGACAGAGAGGAAAATTACAATAAAGATAAATTGCAATTCGAAACAAAGAAAGTGAAACAATAAAAACAACAAAAACAAAAACATTATTTCCTTGGTCGAGAGCTGAAGAGAGAGGAATGAGAACTGGTCAATATTTTTTTCTTCCCCACTATTTTATTAACCCCCCACCACCACACACACACATATATGTGTGTGTGTGTGTGTATTTGTTCTGCCCCTCGTGTACGCGTCCTTTTTACACGCGTGCGTACGTCAAGATAGATAAAAGCCTTAATGAAATTAAGGCTCTGAAGTCCTGTTCACCAAGAGATTTATTAAAGTCCAAAAAACGTTTTTCTGGTTGACTTGAGGTACGCACACCTGTGAGACGGACCCGTACACCTTTTGGTGCAGAGCATTAAAAGGGCGATGCTAATCATTGAGGGTAAGATTTAGTCGGATGAGAAAAATGTGAACCGTATATTTGAGCCTGTGCTTTATTGCGCCGATTCCGTTGATAACTAAGGGCTCACAGGAAGTGGTTAAGAACGGTGACCCATTTAAAATGTACCTAAATTAAAAAGGCTAACAGGAAGTGGTAAAAAACGGTGACTCCACTAAAATAGAAAGTAGACAAACAAAGGAAAGTATCACAGAGGTTCTGTACTGTGGTAACGTAACTGATTTTGAACCACCCCTAACTTGCGGTCATAGCCAAAAACGGAAAAGGTTATGGAAGTAAATCCAGACAGAAAATGGATTCCCGATGGCGGTTGGCTGTCAACATTGACAATCTTTCGGCAACTCCTGCAGTCAAGCCGCCCTGTATTCGTTTGGTTGAGAGGGGGCTAATTGGTCTGAAGTGTGCATATATCATCGCCTGTGTCTTGAGGAGGTCACTCCAGTCTAACCACCCAATGTGAGCACAATACGTGAAACAGCGTTTTACGACTCTAGACGCTGCTGACAAAAGGCCTGGATTTTTTTTAATTATCTCGCGTCATAAACGGATGCCTACTACTCATATACGTTATTTTTCTTCGACGAGTTCAGTTAGTCAACAAGAAAGCATTTTACCTGCGGTTGTTCGTTGTCAGGTGAATCTTTTCGTTTTATTATCTTCACTTCTTCTGGAAAATTCGACAATTGATCTTCCCAGGATACAGGGATTCTTTTTTCAAGAGTTTTACTAAAATAAATAGATAAATAAGTAGACATGGTTAGACAGGAATGACAATTGGGAAATTTGTGAACTAATATAATTTGTCAATGAAAACAAATGGTACAAATCAGTCGCTGTTATAAGGGCGCCTCAGCGCCGGGGTAATGGTTAGCTTGACTAGTGTGGTTTACCATTACTATTGAGTAGTGACTTGGATCCCAACGCTATTAGGATGCATGTTTTCTGTTTAACTAATAAAAATCAAACAACATAAAGTTTAAAAATATCAGATTTTTTTCTCTTTCTTTCCTTAATATCCATATATCACTCTCTGCTGAAACGTTATTAAAGGTGAAACATGTTAGATTTAAAAATATTTCCTATTTGTTCCTTATCCTATCATATATATATATATATATAAGACATTTTTTATGTTTATACGTTTTTTTTTAAAGATAAAAAATGTCTTAAATAATTGTCGGATTTTGTCCACTTCATATATATATATATATATATATATATATATATTCATTCACACACACACATATATATATATATATATATATATATATATATATATATATATATATATATATATATATATATATATTCATATATATATATATATATATATATATATATATATATATATATATATATACATATATATATATATATATGAATGAAATAAATGAAATTTGTTTACATATCACATGAATGTCTCCAGGAATGTTTACCAGATTCAGAGACATTCATCAGGTAAGTGAAGATTCTTTGTTTGTTTAGTGACACATCAATTCGTTATGGGTCATTTAATGTCGAATTTTAATTTTCTTGGGAGCATTAGTAATTTATTTTACAAAAAACGTACTTCTGGTAATATTTTTTTCTTACAGTAATGCATTGCTGAAAATTTTTATTTTATTTTCTACAAAAATATATTGTTCGTAATCTTTTTTGCTATGAAAATGTATTGCTGGTATTTTTACTTTAAAATTTGTTATACTTTTATCGTATCATGACCCCAGTTTGGGGGTCAACTATTTTACCATACTTCTAGCACCCTGTGTCAGTGTGGACCTGGGAACAACAGTAATTAAGTGATGGTTCCACGCTCCTCAAAACCTCCAGATCAAAGTCGTTGCTGCCGGGTGTAGTTTGTCGTCATACCCAGGACGGGGTAAGTTTAATATATACTTTATATATATATATATATATATATATATATATATATATATATATTTTATCATTATCATCATCATTTTATCGAGCACTGTAACTACAGATTTCTTGCTTTAACATTTTCAAGGCGTAGGACTGTAATTCATGTGTTATTAATATCTGCTCAAGAAAAATAATTGTGTGCGTTGGAAAAACAATGTCGCAAGACAATTTTCAGCAGAAATATATTTTCTACGTTTTATAGTATTTTCATCGGAAAATGTAGTTAGACTTTATGAATTTGAGCGCAGTGCTGGATTGGCGGAAAGGTTTCATCATTTTACAGTGGAAATGGCTAGATGTAACAGTCAGTTCTATTCTGACAGTTTCTTCTTTCGGATTTCAGGTTTGTGGAACACTCTTCCGCCTTCTTGCTTTCCAGTCAAACTTGATCTTCAAAAATGATGTATTGTCAGTCGTTATCTTCTGTTTTAATTTTTGTTCTTTATTGTTCTTTTATTGTTTTCTCTTAATGTTGTTTTCTTTTTCTTATATTCCTTCACACCCAGTGACCTATTATGTCTTAGGCGCCTTATTGCCTTGCTTGGAATGAAATGATTTTTAAAAAAATGCTCTTGCATGTACCATCCAGAGTTACCTCCCTTGAATTTTTGTATATGTTTTTCATTTTTTTCAATTATGAAAAATATTGACTAAACTTTAATTAGTTAAAATCAGTTGATTTATTTAAAAAAAAATAACACTCGTTATATAGTGATTTTCCAAGCTTAACTTATATGTGGCACAAGGCCGAAAGTATGGGGTACCTAGAGAGGACCGAACTCACTACTCAGTCGTAATTGTTCGAGCGAGACAAGTTTGCTAACTATTATTACACCACGTTGAGGTGCTCAACACTCGTTATGTGAACATTAGAAAGAGACTAACAAGAAATCTCAGTTTTTGGAACTATTCGCATAAATTTAGTGTGGTTATAGATGGAAAGTTTTTAGAAGGCATTAAAAAACCGATTATACTTTTTAAAGCCTAACAGGGACACCCCCGGCCCCACGGTAAAGGAAATTAAATAACCTGGTACTAGGAACCATGTAACATACATCGGAAAGCGGAGAAGAAGTTGGTGATAAGTCTTTATCCTGATTATTTGATGTTAGCCTACACACGAGAAAAATAGAAGGCATTGAATAAATGGGTTTAGGTAAGTCTTCTTCTTTGTATCGTGATCCTTCAGGATGTAGGCATTTGTGGTTCTCCACAACTTCCTATTCCTCGTGGCCCGTTGCAGCATTTTCTCCTTTGCCAAGCCTATCGACCCACTCTTGTTCCGCCATCCATTCAAATAAGCTTGTCAGGTAAGTGGCCTATTGATTTCCCCTATCATCCATGGCCTCGATATGCCCAAGCCTTCCATTCTCATTATGGCAATTATAAAACTATAACCACCCCCACAAAGAAAAACTACATAAAACAATTAATATCTGTTGAAAACAGAAAAATAACCCTACAGACATTATAAAGAATAAAAAAAAAACGATGCAAATTTTAATAACCAACTTATATCAGAAACTGAATGCAAAATAAGTTGTATTAGAACCCAACATTTCTAATAACTGATTAAAAAAGAAAAAAAAAAATTTCATCAACTAACCTGTACCTAAAACTATCACTGATTCACATACAACATCAAGCTATGTACCAAGGATCGGGTTATCATTTAAGCCAGTATAGGCTGCAGCTTAGGATCCCTCAAGTTTTTATAAAGCAATGATTTAGATGTTATAAGTTCCGAACAGGTTCATTAATTGAAATGATATCAATATGACAAAATCATATTTATTTGAGTGTGGAAGGCAAAGAATATTTTAGTTTGTTTCTGTGAGTGTCAAAGAAGTAATGTGATGGTCTATTAGTGTGGAGATGTGGAAGTCACCAAAGTAGGTGTTTACAAGTTGTTATCTTCGGATAACTTTCTTTATTTAAATATTCACCAATTTATGACCTTTTAAAACTTCATACAAAGACATAATATTGCATGTACTGATAAACATTTATATCTCTCAAAATAAAATATATAATAGTTTTCAAAGAATTCATGTTCCTATGAGAAAGCTCTCGTGGTGAAAGTCATAGCATATATATATATATATAGAGAGAGAGAGAGAGAGAGAGAGAGAGAGAGAGAGAGAAAGAAAGAAAGAAAGCGGGAGAGAGAAAAAGAGGGGAGTCTTTGTTAATATGGATGTAAGTATTTCTTGATAGTAGTAATTCTTTTGACTCTCCCTGTGGGATTTTTAGGTGTCCGAAGCTTGAGGGTAAGGGGCAGCGGATGACATTCATTTCAGCGGCTGGTGTGGTCCGTTTGTCGGCTCATCACCATTTGTCTTAACACTTTTTTTTAAAAGGCAATAAAAGTCATTCCCGAATTGTTCTTGATTTTGATTGGTTCCAGAGATGACTCATTTGACAATCCCTTTTTCTTCACCTACATTTAGGGATCATAAACTTTTGGCCTCTTTCATTTATTTATTTTTTCCTATCTTTTTGTTTTTATTTCTTTATGGCACACCAAAATGGTTTGCCACTTTTAGCTTTCTATTTTTTTATTTTTGAAATAGTGATCTTTTTATTTTTCTATCACTACATGTTATTGTGTTTCAAGAAGATAACATGTTTGTTCAGAATGTTTAAAATTTAGAATTTTTATAAAGCAGTGATTTTAATTTTGTAAATGTTATAACTTCTAAATAGCTTCATAAATTGATAAAAACAATATCAATATGAGAAACTCATATTTATTTTGATTGTTTTATTGTTATTGTTATAAAATAAAATAAGACATATCTCAGCTGATTTGCAGGCAAATAAACTAACATACTTAAGAGAGAGAGCTAGATGTGAACCGGACAAGGCCCCGTCACAAAATGACCATTATCGTCGTCTACGCATAAGCCCGACGCACGAGTTCCGGTCGAAAAATAAAATAATATTTTAAAGTGTTTCTATTTTTCGACCAATAAAAATGCTTCCCTCCTAATTATACTCGCGTCGTTTTTCGAGCCTGTTAAGCCATAAAAAAACGCCATAAAAGGGGTCACACGGGGAAGTACACAGCAGTCAACAGGAGGCCAGGGAAGAGACCTGTCACGGTCAGTCAGCAGCAGTCAACAGGAGGTCAGGGAAGAGACCTGTCATGGTCAGTCAGCAGCAGTCAGCAGGAGGAGCGCCACGCCAACCAGTGTGAACTACTATGAGAGATAAACCCAGACCGGGGGCCGGCTTATGAACTATACCACAAGGTAGCTGTCCCAAACCCACACGTTCCTATTGAAATAAATCACGTAAATTTATTTCTGCTGTTGTCGTATTTCCTTCTTGCAACCATACGCTTGTCTATAACATTATAATGCTCGTTATAAAAGATTATTTTTTCTACGGCTGTGTTGAAATATGTGCCAATTTGGTTTGCAATAAATAGTAAAATAATGGTATTTCTTAGAGAATATTTTTATTGGCAAACACGTTATTCTAGTTTATTTGAAGAATTTGCAACAAGTTCAAGCTATGTTAATGTCGCTAAAATATATCACAAGTAAAAAATATTAAAGACGGTTCGGGAAAGTTAGAGGGTTGCTCTGTCTGCAATGGGGTCCAAAAAGGTTACAAACCGGTCCTGCCTATACCCAAAACAACTGCTATTCAAAACCATTTTCTATATGTAACCATATAGTGATTGAAGTGCCGTAAAGCAGAAACCAAACCAAACAAAATAAAACCTTCTTCATTATTTATTCTTTTTCTTTTATGTGCCATGTCCCTTCAGGACGTAGTCGGTCATGGCTCTCCACTTCCCCCTATCCATTGTAGTTCTCAATAT